GCCCGAGTTGGTCATGATGCTGGCACCTTGTCTGGAGTGATTGGAGGGCATGGGCCAGATCAGCTCAATAACAACGGTAGGAGGCTGCTAGATTTTTGTGCAGCCCATGGGCTTGTAATTACCAACACGCTGTTCCGGCATCGGCGCATCCACACACCACCATGGATGCATGCGGGGTCAAAGCAAGAACATCTGCTGGACTACATAGTGACGGACCAGCGGAAGCGAGCCCATGTCCTTGACACCAGGACCTACCGTGGAGCTGATCTGTCCTCCGACCATCGACTAGTCATCTGTAAGATGCGCCTGCCATTCTTCCACTCCAGTGGTGGGTGTACACCCAGGACCCCATTCCAAACTATAGTGGCCTGGTCTCAGTTATCTGATGAAAGCTGCAAGCGAAAATTTCATCATCGCTTGCGGCTGGGGTTGGCATCGTCCTCCACTCCTCCTGATGTTGAGGGTAAGTGGGCAAGGTTTAGGACTGTGACTCATGCAGCTGCAATGGCTGCTTTGGGTACGCGGTCCAGACCTCCCCGGAGACCCTGGCTGACAAAGGTGTTCAGGATGGTTGAGAAAAAGCAACAGGCCCACTGTCATCGGCTACAGAATCCCACGTCAGAGAATGAGGAGGCTTACCGCAGCCTTCGCTCGGAGGTTCGGAAAGCCGTGAGGCGCTGCAAGGATGGGTGGTGGTCGCGGGTTGCTGAGGAGATGGAGTCTGCCTCAGTGGCCTGCGATCACAAAACTTTATTTAACTCCATCAAAAAAGTAACCTGCAGTGCCACACCTATTACCATCATTAGGGGAAAAAACGGTGATCCAATCTCCGACCCCCAAGAACAGGTTTGAAGATTTGCTGAGCATTTCTGTGAGGTCTTGGGGGAGGGAAAATCCTTCAGCCAGGAAAACATCGTGGCACAAAGTGAGGATGACACTGCTGAGGCTGCGGTGCATCAAATATTGGAAGAAGTCACCCCCTGTGAGTGGCTGGCTGAAGTGCCATCTGTTGAGAAAGTATTGAAGGTGATCCGGAGTCTGAGACCAGGAAAGGCAGCGGGCAGAGATGATCTCCCAAGCGAAATGCTGAGTGAGGGTGGCGTTTGTGCACAGACTGCCCAATATGACATCATAACAACAGTCTGGGCCACTGGACGGGTTCTGCAGGATTGGAAGGATGCGCTGGTGGTCCCCCTCTTTAAGAAGGGGGACCGCACAGACTGTAACAACTACAGGGGCATCTCACTCCTCAGTGTGCCGGGAAAGGTCCTGACAAGGACTATTCAACATCGCCTTGCCAGGCACGCTGAGGAGAGGCTTGCGGAGCCCCAATGCGGTTTCAGGAAAGGGCGGTCCTGCACAGATGCCATATTTTCTGTCCGTCTGCTAGAGCAGAGGTGTAGGGAATTCCAGCAAAACCTACATCTCTGCTTTATTGACCTGGTCAAGGCCTATGATACCATCAGTAAGCCTGGGCTCTGGGTTGTTCTTTGTACTTTTGGAGTACCTGACCCTCTGCTCACGATCATTAAGGACCTTCATGATGGTGAGCGGGCCCGGGTAAAACTACGTGGCCGGGAGTCAGAACCATTCCCTGTACACCTTGGGGTGCGACAGGGATGTCCTCTGACTCCCAGATTATTTAACATCTATTTTGACCACATAGTTCGTGAAGCCTTCAAAAGCTATACCGAAGAATCTCCATATGGTATAGATCAAATGGGAGGCTGATCGATGCCTGGGTGCGGTCAAGTGATGGCTCCCTATTGCTCAACCACATTATGTATGCCGATGATTTGGTAAAAGCTGCTCATTCAGAGGAGGAGTTGGAGACGCTGCTGCTGAGACTGGAGCGTGCCACTAAGAGATGGGGCCTTACCATCAGCCCCACCAAAACTAAGCACCTGCCTGGGTATTTTGTACAATCGGACACTCCACCCTCACAACTCCCAATCGGTGATGGGGCAGTTGTGGAGAGAGTGGAGAGTTTCCCATACCTGGGCAGTGTGCTCATGACCGGCTCCAGTTTAACATCAGAAGTCTCACTCCGAATCAGTCGAGCGGCAATATCTTTTCATCGGTTGCGTAACGCTGTGTGGAAGCTACCTGGTCTGTCGCTCCGCACTAAGCTTCAGGTCTTCTCGACCACGGTTATTCCCTCCCTTCTCTACACTGGCGAAACGTGGACGCCCCCTAATGGAACATCTTCGCCGGTGAGAAACATTTAGGCTGGCCTGCCTACGATCCATCCTGGGTTTGACCAGGCTGGATTGTGTGAGGAGCTCACAAATCTTTGAAAGATTTGGGCAAGGTCCCATCGGTGAGCTCCTTCGGCAGGCAAGGCTGCGTTGGCTGGGCCATGTAGCCCGCATGCCCAGCCACCGCATGCCGAAACAGCTTCTGTTTGGCCGGATCGAGGGAGCTAAACGGGCGCGGCACTGGCTAGAGAAGAGATGGAGTGACGTGGTACAGGAGGACGTGGAGCTGAGTGGACTTGCCAATGACCGGTACCAGCGTTGTCAAGATCGGCCTCTGTGGAGGAGGCTCGTGAAGGACGCTACTGGGCAGTTGGAGGTAGTCGCCCTCCAACAACAATGGAGGGCGGAGGAGCGACGCTCACAACAACGAGCGGAGCGCCGGGTGGCTAAAGCACAGCAAGTTGGCACAGTAGGGGGCACAGGTGGTGCATCAGCCAGTCATCTCAGTCAGTCGACCCGTGGCACCTGGGTCTGCCCTGTGACCTCCTGCCCGCGGGCGTTCGACATTTCACATGGCCTCTAGGTGCACATGGCCTGGCACAAGCGTCGTGGTGACGTCACCGCCACTTAGTGGCGAATGGCGGTTGTTGTTGTGTCTGTGTGTCTGTCTGTGTCTGAGTCTGTGTCTGTCTGTGTGTCTGTCTGTGAGTCTGTCTGTGTGTCTGCCTGTGTGTCTGTCCGTGTGTTTGTCTCTGTGTGTGGCCGGTCAGCGCTACGCTGCGCTACGAACCCGGCCACCTGAGTTTGATTCCCGCTCATGGCTACCAACACCACGTGACGATTGTTTGAGCCGGTCCTGTGCCTCCCCTAGATCGACTCAGCCTCAAATAAGTACCTGGTGTAGCGGTGTGTAGTAAACATCGCCACTGGGGAGACAAAGGCGGCCGGGCGTGGTGTTGGCTGGCCACCGCACCCCCTCGTGTGCCGTGCCCGCCTGGATAGATGCTTCTTGCTAAAAGCACTTGCCCCTACAGTCTGTTAAAGGCTATACGGGGGATCTTTGTCTATTCATTGCGTGGCCTTAATAGATACAATTTATATTTTTGGTTATTTTGGTAAAGTCACGTAAATAGAAAATAAAAAAGAAAAGCAAAAAAACCCCTAAATTTCTGGAAATTGCCCTTCTTCATGGTACATTCACACAGTCACCCACCTACTCACCCACACACTCACCAATCCCACGTATACACCCACTTATCTACAACTGGCTCGGTGAGTTGGTGTGTGAGGGGGGTGGGTGAGTAGATGAGTGGGTGAGTAGGTGGGGTTGGTGAATGAGTGGGTGATTGGAATTGGTGAGTAGGTGGATGGGTGATTAGGTGGATGGGTGAGTAGGTGGATGGGTGAGTGGGTGGATGTGTGAGTGGGTGGATGTGTGAGTGGGTGGCTGGCAGGATGGATGGATGAGTGCGTGGGTGGGTGGATGGGTGAGTGGGTGGGTGAGTGGATGGGTGAGTGGATGGGTGAGTGGATAGGTGAGTGCATAGGTGGATGGGTGAGTGGGTGGATGGATGGGTGAGTGGGTGAGTGGATGGGTGGGTGTGTGGATGGGTGGGTGGGTAAATGGGTGGTTGGGTGGGCGGATGGGTGAGTTGGTTTGTGAGTGGGGGGGGGGTTGGTGAGTGAGTAGGTGAGTCACCCACCGAATCAACCACCCACTCGCCCACCCCCCTACTCACAAACCAACTCACTCACCCATCGACCCACTCACCCACTCACCCACCCATCCACTCACCCACTCATCCACCCATCCACTCACCCACTCACCCGTCCAGTCATCCACTCACCCGCCATGTCAATGACACTACTCCTGCTGGGTGGAGTCTCGACTTATTATCCCCAAGCATGAACAACATCGCTCTACGTGGCAATGGCGCCCCCTCCTGGACTGGCAACGCAGCTGCTGCTGATCGGGAATCAAAACTCGAGTGGGTGGTTGGGTGAGTGGATTGGGTGAGTGGGAGAGTGGGTGGTTGGGAGAGTGGATGCATGGGTGGTTAGGTGAGTGGGTGGTTGGGTGGATGGGTGAGTTGATGAATGAATGGTTGGGTGGATGGGTGATTGGGTGGTTCAGTGATTGGGTGAGAAGGTGAGTGGGTGAATGGGTGGTTGGTTGGATGGGTGGTTGGGTGAGTGGGTTGGCTACGTACGATGCGAAAGACGTTTAACCTATATACACAAACCCACTCACTCACCTAGTCACTCACTCACCCACCTACTCACTCAACCACTCACTCACCCACCTACTCACTCACCCACCAATTCACTCAACCACTCAATCACCCACTTACTCACTCACCCACTCACTCACTCACCTACTCACTCACTCACCCACTCATCCACTCACTCACCCACCCACCTATTCACTCACCAATCCACCCACACAGATTCCGACTTCCCATTGGCTCTCCGGGGTCCCGGCTCCCCCATTGGTTCAGCACCCCAAGACCCGCCCACCGCCATTGGCTATGCAGAGTACCGCCTCCCCCATTGGTTCAGGGCCCAAGACCCGGCCTGCCCATTGGCTATCCCAGTTATCCTTCCCCACCCATTGGGTCAGCACCCCTAAGATCCGGCTTACCCATTGGCTATCCCTGTGATCCCGCCCCACCCATTGGCGCAACACCCCTAAGACCCCGGCCCACCCATTGGCTATCCCGGTGATCCCGCCCCACCCATTGGGCTCAGCCACCCCTAAGACCCGGGCCCACCCATTGGCTATCCCGCCTATATAAGGGAACGGCGTTACAACCGCCATTGCTGTCTGCTGCGTCTCCTCTCCCTCTGCTGTGTCGCAGCTGTCCGCTCTGTTGCTGCGTCTCCGCCTTCGAACGTCGCCGGAGAAGGAGACTCGAGGGTCTACGAAGGAAGGAGGAGGAGAGACACAGGGAGGGAAAGGTCTTGGTGGTGGTGTTGGTGGTGGACAGTACGATGGCGAGCAGAGCGGTTTGTGTGCTCAAGGGCGATTCGCCCGTGACCGGCACGGTGCATTTCGAACAGGAGGTGACCACACACACATAGACACACACAGACACACACAGACACACATAGACACACACACACACCACTCAACACATAGACACACACACACATAGACACACACCACACACAGACACACCACACACACAGACACACACACACAACAAAGACAAAGATCCCCCGTATAGCCTTAACAGACTGTAGGGGCAAGTGCTGTTAGCGAGCACCTATGAAGGCCGGAACGGTACACGAGGGGGTGGGTGGCCAGCACCACGCCCGACCGCCTTTGTCTCCCTAGTGACGATGTTTACACACCGCACCAGGTACTCATTTGAGGCTGAGTTGACCTAGGGGAGGCCCGGGACCGGTTCAGATATCGAACCCGGGTCGCCAGGTTCATAGCGCAGCGCGCTAACCGCTACACTATCGCTCCCCACACACACACAGACACACACACACAGACACACCACACACAAACACACACCACTCAACACATAGACACACACAACACACACCACACAGACACACCACACAGACACACAGACACACACAGACACCACATAACACACCACACACAACACACCACGCCACACACAGACACACACCACTCAACACACCACACAACACACACCACACACATCACACACACCACACACAGACACACACCACAACACATAGACACACACCACAACACATAGACACACACAACACACACCACACAGACACACCACACAGACACACAACACAGACACCACACAACACACCACACACAACACACCACGCCACACACGCCACACACACACCACACGCAACACAACACACCACACGCAACACCACACACCACACGCAACACAACACACCACACACCACACGCCACACCACACACCACACGCCACACCACACACCACACGCAACACAACACACCACACGCAACACACCACACACACACCACACGCAACACAACACACCACACACAGACACACACACACCACACACACACAGACACACACACACCACAACACATACAGACACATCACACACACCCCACACACACCACAGACACAACACACACACCACAGACACAACACACACACCACACACATACAGACACACGACATACACCCCACGCACAACACACCACAACACACACAGACACACCAGACACAGACACACCACACCACACACAACACACACAGACACACCACACCACACAACACACCACAAGACACACACCACACACACAGACACACCACACCACACACAACACACACGCCACACACAACACACACCACACAACACACACCACAAGACACACAGATACACACCACAACACACACACACAGACACACCACACAACACACCACACCACACACACGCAATACACCCCACACACACCACGCCACACATACACCCCACACACACACGGACAAAGCTCCGCGTGTAGCCTCTAGCAGGCTGTCGTGGCAAGTGCCGGTGGGTGTCCAGCAGCACCACGCCCGGCCGCCTTTGTCTCCCCCAGTGCTAGCGATGTTTACTACACTACTACACCGCTATACCAGGTACTCATTTGATGCTGAGTCGACCTAGGGGAGGCCCAGGACCGGTTCAGAGAATCGTCACCGGTGGTGGTGGTGATGGCCGTGAGCGGGAATCGAACCCGGGTCGCCGGGTTCAGTAGCGCAGTGTGGCGCTAACCACTACACCCACCGCTCCACACACACAACACACAGATTCTAAATTTCGATTTAAAGCTTTCGATTCATCTGCCTTGGTTATTTCGGTAAAGTCACCACCACGTAGAATGAGAATAAAATAATAAATTGATAAAATAAAATAACACCAATAATTTTCTCACGACGTTTCGCTTGTGTTGTGGCCGAAACGTCGTGAGAAAATTATTGTGTTATTTTATCAATTTATTTTATTCTCATTCTACGTGACTTTACCGAAAGAACCAAAGAACACAGATTCTATTTGATTGCATCATTGCTCACGATGAATCGATGAGCAATAACCTATTACTCGTCCATTCCGGCTGTTGTGTTTATAGGGGCGTTGGCTTGCAAGGAGGTCGTGGGTTCGATCCCGACCCTGACAATGCCTGCTGCTGCTGCTGTATATTTGGAGTCTGCGTCTCTCTCACCATCATCATCACGGTAGCTAGGAAATGTTTACCTCGCCTGGTGTACAGGAGGTCGTGGGTTCCACCACCATCATCATCACGGTGGCTAGGAGATGTTGACTACCTCGCCTGGTGTACAGGAGGTCGTGGGTTCCACCATCATCATCATCACGGTAGCTAGGAGATGTTGACTACCTCGCCTGGTGTACAGGAGGTCGTGGGTTCCACCATCATCACGGTGGCTAGGAGATGTTGACTACCTCGCCTGGTATGCAGGAGGTCGTGGGTTCCACCCCGACCCTGACACTGCCTGGTGTATATTTGGAGTCTGCGTGTCACTCTCTCATCATCATCATCACGGTGGCTAGGAGATGTTGACTACCTCGCCTGGTGTACAGGAGGTCGTGGGTTCCACCACCATCATCATCACGGTGGCTAGGAGATGTTAATTACCTCGTCAGGTATACAGGAGGTCGTGGGTTCCATTCAGGGTGTTTCAAAAAAGATGGACCCGATTTGAAATGGCTACATCTCTGAAATTGGGTCCATCTCTTTAAAACACCCTGTATTTGGAGTCTGCGTCTCTCTCTCTGTCCCTGTGGTTGCGTGGATTTGCCTCCAGGTCCTCCGCCTTTCACCCTACCACATTGAGAATCAACGTCACGCCTTTAGGGAGTTATTCGGCTGCTGCTTATACATTTCCACGCCATGATGATGATGAGGATGATAAGGCCACTCCGTTTGAGCTTGCTGTCACTTGTGATAGCCAGGATGTCGTTTCTGAAACGGAGCAACTTGCATGGGCAGCTCAGTGGGGCCTTACACTGAAAATTAAAAAAATAAGAAATGGTGTAAATGTAAATGCCGATGTCAGTGGTTTCGCCGCTTTGCTTGGCTTTAATCGCCCTTCGTGAATCCACCACTTCTGACGACGACGATGACCCCCCCCCACTGCGTAATTATCTGGAGCACTAATCGCCTGACGTTCGGTTAGTTTCATGGCTGGGATGATTGCGCCGCGATTCGAGTCTGGGGTAAGATGATGCCGGGGGTTGTTGTCGCTGTACAGCGGTGTCACGATCGGTCTCCGCTGAGGAGGAGGAGGAGGCGAAGGACGCTACAGGACAAGTGCCAGGCTAGGTGCACCTTGAGGCTGCCTCGGCGGCTTGGAGGCAGTCGCCCCCGCCAGCGGCAACAACGGAGGGCGGAGGAGCGACGCTCACAACAAACGAGCGGAGTGCCGGGCGGATAAAACGAACGGGCGTTCAAGCTGTGTGGTGCATCTCTGCCAGTCATCTCAGTCAGTTGACCCATGGCACCTGGGTCTGTCCTGTGACCTGCACCTAGCCTGGCACAGCAGTCAACCCATGGCACCTGGGTCTGTCATGTGACCTGCACCTAGCCTGGCACAGCAGTCAACCCATGGCACCTGGGTCTGTCATGTGACCTGCACCTAGCCTGGCACAGCAGCAGTCAACCCATGGCACTTGGGTCTGTCATGTGACCTGCACCTAGCCTGGCACAGCAGTCAACCCATGGCACCTGGGTCTGTCATGTGACCTGCACCTAGCCTGGCACAGCAGTTAACCCATGGCACCTGGGTCTGTCATGTGACCTGCACCTAGCCTGGCACAGCAGCAGTCAACCCATGGCACCTGGGTCTGTCCTGTGACCTGCACCTAGCCTGGCACAGCAGTCACAACCCATGGCACCTGGGTCTGTCATGTGACCTGCACCTAGCCTGGCACAGCAGTCACAACCCATGGCACCTGGGTCTGTTCTGTGACCTGCACCTAGCCTGGCACAGCAGTCAACCCATGGCACCTGGGTCTGTCATGTGACATGCACCTAGCCTGGCACAGCAGCAGTCAACCCATGGCACCTGGGTCTGTCATGTGACCTGCACCTAGCCTGGCACAGCAGTCACAACCCATGGCACCGGCTGGGGTGTCTGTCCAGTGACCTATCAGCAGCGAAGCACTTCCAACGCTTCACGTGGTCTCGGGAGTGCACCTAGCCTGGCACAGGCGCCGTGGTGACATCACCGCCGCCGTGATTTCGTAGCCTCCCAGTGCAAAGGGGGGGGGTTAGTGGAGGGAATGGCAGCGATTCGATTCTGTCTCGATTCACCACAGCGGGGGGTGGGGAGGGAAAATCCGATTTCCCGTCCTTTGATAAAAAAATATATATAAATTGAGAATCGTCATCATCCAACAAGTGGATGGACCACTGCTGGATGATGATAGTGTGGACTGAGGCCTTCTCCAGCCTCCATCAGCCGTGGTCTGTCCACTGCTGGATGGACGCCTCCCCTAGCCTCCATCATCATCATCAGCTGTGGTCTCTCTACTGGTGGATGTAGACCACCCCTAGACACCACCATCATCATCAGCCGTGGTCTATCTACTGGTGGATGTAGACCACCCCTAGACACCACCATCATCATCATCAGCTGTGGTCTATCTACTGGTGGATGTAGACCACCCCTAGACACCACCACCATCATCATCATCAGCTGTGGTCTATCTACTGGTGGATGTAGACCACCCCTAGACACCACCGCCATCATCATCACCAGCTGTGGTCTATCTACTGGTGGATGTAGACCACCCCTAGACACCAACACCACCACCACCATCATCAGCCGTGGTCTATCTACTGCTGGATGTAGACCACCCCTAGACATCATCATCATCAGCCGTGGTCTATCTACTGGTGGATGTAGACCACCCCTAGACACCACCATCATCATCAGCTGTTCTCTATCTACTGGTGGATGTAGACAACCCCTAGACACCACCACCATCATCATCAGCTGTGGTCTATCTACTGGTGGATGTAGACCACCCCTAGACACCACCACCATCATCATCATCAGCTGTGGTCTATCTACTGGTGGATG